GCTATGACTTGACTTGACTTGACTCTCACAAAAATGACTCGGGACTTGCTTGAGACTTGAAGGTTAAGACTTGAGACTTGCTTGAGACTTGCACATGTGTGACTTACTCCCACCTCTGGCCTGTAGTGTGTCGTCAAATTTGGACTTTTTGCCAAGAAACATAAAGTTGTTGTAACATGCACATTATCCAATCTGTGCCAAATGTCATATGTTCTATTAGAGGCTTGGCCTGAACACATGTACATGGAAAATTCAGTCATATTTACAGCAACACGTGTTTGTGAAATTTTCTTGATCTCGGGGTCTGCGCATGACATTTTGGCGCATAACAAGGGCAAGTTCATCACTGCTTGCAGCTTTAACTATAGTTATTTTTATTATTAGATGTGAGACTGTGACACCATTTCTCAGGAACCACAGTGTAAACGCCTTTTTAAATTATACAATATAAACATGTTGTCAGATTTTTGTTCTGATAGTCAGACTGTAATTAAATTAGTTAAAAAGTTTAAGAATTTTACTGTAAGTCTACAGTTAATTATTTGCACTTTCGATCGATATATAGGGAGAGAAACATGTGAAATATGCAGACTGCCCATGGCAGGAAGTTTCAACAGCACAGGTATCAGATCAGTTGATCTCTTAGATAATACGCAGAATTTAAAAATGTTATTGATATGTATGACATTCATATGTCACTTGAACTTACGTCTTCAAAGTAGTTGGAGATGAGGTTCATATCACTTGTGTTCTTGCTGTCCATACGGTACTGCTCATACATGAGGTCATCTCGTGAACATTCCAGCTCCATCAGCTTCCTGTGAGCCTGCAGCAGCTCTGCCTGCTCAATCAGCTCTCGCGTCTCTGTCACAATCTCCGGTACTGTACACACAGCGCAGTGGCAAACAGACACACAGTACTTAGAGCAACAGAAAGCAGAAGAGAAATCTTTGTCTGTGATATAGCCAAGATCTATCTAGAGTTGAACTAAGCTTACCAGAGAAAATGTTCTTAAGGTTCTCCACAGCGGAGGCCAGCTGACTGTGTTGAACTACAGCATCCTTGACATCTTTCAGGTTCTCTATGGTGTTGATGCTCTGCCTCCAGTCTTTGCTCACGTCAGCCAGTGAGCCCTGGATATCTTTGACATCCAGCAGGGCACTGTGCAGCTGGGTCAGTCCAGTGCGAACACCATCTAGCTGGGATTGGATGGCTGCCTGAAGGATAACAGAGGGTATCAAGATACAGATAATATTGATAATTACTGAAGTTATTAATAAGCTTTTTGTGTCAATTGATCATAATCAGCTTAGGCATATGGTAAATGCTTGCTTTCTTACTGAGTATGTGTCACGTTACCATGTAGAACCCAAACGTGACTGTGACACAGATGAACCGGATGTAAAAAATGAAATTATTTAAAGCAACTGCAAGGAACTTTCATTCGTGTTGATTCTGGCGGCCCCTGTGGACAAAAGCGATTTGTTCTTTGCAAGTTTTTGTAAGTCACATAGCCTGTTAAAAACTCACTGTAGTATGTTTAATCATTCCTGTTGTCACAATTTGAGCCAGATACAGAGAGTCTAGAGGTAAGGTAAAGTCCCAACATGAACATATTATTTTAACATTTAAAAGTTGCCCTTCAGAGTTAAACATACCAAGATTTTTGCAGAACCTTAACATGAGGAACAGAAGTGAAATTGCGAAGATGGAACTGGCAATGGGAAAAGTCAGGGAGGAAACACTGGGACTGGGCAGGATAGGAAGACAATTTTGTTTCAGTGAAATGACATGAAGTTAACTTTATTTATTGTTATTGTGACATTCAAACTTTATTTTTGACCTTCATTTGCAATTAACAATTATTTTTGTGATTGTTCCCTGGTTCAAGCTTTGGTGAGGAATTACATTTTTTTTTATCATTTTAAATAGAATATCTTTGGGCTGTTGATATTTGTAGAGAAACAAAACAGCTGTCGCTGAATAGAGCAGTGAGTAAGTTGATGTGTAAAATGAAAGTCTGTGTGTACTGAACTATACTGTACTGTGTGCCAACACATCACCTTCAGCCTGGCTTCCACAGAGGCCTTTTTGCGGGCCTCTCTTCTTCTGTACTGCTCCACTTTGTCCAACTGGTCCGATCGCTGCAGCATCCCTGCCACACGCTGCACTGCTGTGGCAACCGCCTCCCGACTTGTCTCCTCCATAGTGTTGCTCAGTAGTATTAAGTACCTGTTGATTCCAAAAGCTTCGTGCAAACGCTTGTGACCTGAAAGAAAAAATACAGACTGTCACAAGTAAACCTCCTGCACATCAGAAACTTTTTAAAAGACTTTTTCTGGGGCATTTCTGCATGTTTTTTTTCATAGTGACAATAGCAAGACACAGTAAAGGAAGGGATGAACAGCTGCGAAACTAAACAGCTATATGACAGCTATGATGTTGGCTGTTACAGGAACTGTGAAAAATACAAATGCAGATCCCATTGTCCTAAACTTTTATTTTTGAATTTTATGCATCTTATGCTCTTTATACTGTGACCGTTTTCTCATATATTGCCCCGCTTACAATATCACAATATATCGCAAGTAGGGATGGACCAATATTTCGGCTGATAGTTGCCTTGTTGACTGACATCGGCCTATTTGCCAATAAGATGGCATTTACTCATATCAGTTTATCTTTTGCGTTGCATCAATTTTGCACTGGTTAAATGTCGTGTTTGGTATTTCCAACTAGGACTGACACAAATTTCATGCAAATATTGACATGCTCCATGCAGCAGCACGGCCAGTTCAGTCAGCTCTGTGTCTCACAATGAGAAGAGAAATACACTAAACTGCACCAAGGCAGAGACTTATCTTTGTAGATTTGTCTCCCGGCACAAAGGGTAAATAAATAATAATGATTCACAATCTGTGCATCCCTATCCAAGAATTCTATAATTTGATGTTGAAATATAAGAGAAAATACAGCCATCAGACATAACATGCAGTCCAATACCAACAACCTGCAATGCACTGTGTGTTCTGACACCTTTCTATCAGAACCAGCATGAACTGTTTCAGCAGTTTGAGCTACAGTAGCTCCCCTCCTCGCGCTTGGACTCGAGACCAACGGGCAACCTTCCCGCCCGCGGCTCCAGCGATGCACCTGCAAGCCCTGGACGGCCTGCCTGCCATTGCACGTTCACGCCCATTTGATCGCACGGCGGGTACCCGACTCGTGCAGGACAGAACCGACAAGCGCTGCCACCGTGTCCGAGATCGACCAACCTCCGTCTAACCATCGACACATGTGGCTTAGAGTGCGGGAAGAGTGCGCTCAAGATCCTCGCCACCGCGTGCCGCATCTTTCTTCGCCGTTCGTGGAACATCCAACAGTTGAACAGCCGACAAAATGTCACGCCCGTTGCTTAATCCACGTAGCGTCCCACCGACTGACAGGCAGCCATGATACACCAGATAGATCCCCAGGAGTTTCACCTTCAACCCAAGTGCAGTGCTATCAACTGTTAATTGGCCGATCCGGTTACACAGAGATACCGATTGGTTCTCTTTCTTACAACAATCACTACTCTCCTCTCCATCTTTGTTATGATTCAGCTCCTCCTGCCTCTTCACGTGCTTGAACACATCGTACTTGTCGAAGCGAACCGTCGAGTTACACGCTTGCCCCACTCCGCTGAATCCTAGGACACAAGATGAAGAGGACTCGGTACTACACCTCTCGTTGTCACACACAACAGTCCCATCACTGGACCACTCATTCCTCCACATTGTCACTGTATGAGGCCCGCGCCGCGGGACCATGTGCTCGACCCGGGGACCTCCACCACTCACCAAACGACGACATTCACACCGACTCTTCGTATCCTTTCTTTACTGTCGCTTACATCGGCTTCACCTAAGCTTTTTCGACCGTGTAGCGACCGAGTACGCTTAGGTTACAAATTTAACGTTACAGGGTGACAACGTAATGACAGCTACGAACGCGAGCGGTTTAGCTAACGTTAGCAGGTACTTTTAGCAGAAGCCGTACAAATTATTCAGTGTGACATAAGGGTCAAATATAACATTAGATACCCTAACAAATGATTTTAAATCCCCCAGCCTAATAAATAATACAGCATAAGCTAACTGAAGTAACCCCAACGGAGGGGGTAGGTCAACTAAAACCACAACCCTATGAGGACAGCACCCTGCGCAAAAAACTTAAC